AGGTAAGTCAAAATGTAGCACCAGTTCTGAATCCGACTGGCTAAATGCTTGGCAAACCTGTAGGTATGCTTTCTTGAGGAGATGGAGGTGGTTCATTTTCTGGTCCACTCTCATGTGCTGATGTTCCTGAGGTGTTTAATAAGTCCCTTTGTCTACAAAACACACATTTTCAACATTTTAGAGACAAACAAATCCACACCTGACCCACAAGAGTCCATCAACATTACTGAACTTACGTTTCTCCTTGGTGCTGATTTTTTGGATCAGTAGTTTTGATCTACGGAAATTAGAAATATTTTAACAAACTGAATTAGAATTACAACAGCACAAACGTTTGTATTTTTTCCAGTTGGTGATCACGGTGTTTTTAATATACCTTCTGAGGTTTGATGGTAGCCACAGGAGGAGAGCCTGGAGGGGTCTGACTCAGAAGGTCTGGATTGAAGGTTCGGCTAGCAATCTGCATACACTCCTCCAGGGTCTTTAAGAAGGTGGTGCATGTGGACTTCACTAGATTTCCTGTCTCATCCCCTACCTGAAACCAACACATACCAAAACTGAATTTCCAGAGCCACTTGACCAGTCTGAACAGTACAGCACACACATTTAGGGTGCGTTCACACTTGGCAGGTTTGGTTTGATTAAAACGAACCCTGGTGCGATTACTCTGTTAGTGCGGTTCATTTGAATAAGTGTGAAGGCTGAACCCAGGTTCGCACCCAAACAAGTGGACCGAGAACGCTAAAAAGATGGGTCTCTGTCCACTTCCAAACAAACTCTGGTGCGGCTCGAATGAAATATGAATGCAACACGGACAAAAGACATGCAAACGAACCAAAAACAGGACATGCGACCCAAAAAGGACAGAATCATCAAGCACACCTGTTTTTTCTCATCATAGTCTTGATATTACTCATCACAGTTCGATACAGGCATCAGAACTGCATCTCCTCGCAGCAGAATTTCGTTTGTGTGTGTGACAGAGGGATTCCTGCCGCTGTTTTGAGTCCTTTACACATTTTATAAGCTCTTCACGAGTTCTCAGCTCCATTATATACCACATCATATGTACACACATACAGCGAGTGCATTTAACCCAGCACACAATGATTAAGTTCCGTCACAAAATATACATCATAAAAGCTATGATGTATATATATTTTTTTGTGTCTTTAGGTTCAGTGTTAAAAATGACTGTGTGACCGCTAAGCGAACCAGGAATAAATGAATAATTTTCTTTTTTGGTCCAGACCAAAAGCACAAAGAGAACCAAACTACAAGTGTGAACACACCCTTAGAATGATAAGGTATGAAGAGATAAACTTATAACCCTGCATTATTGATGTTTGACGAGCTTGTAAATTGTTTAATAGTATACATGTTTCCTCAATGATGTCCTTGAAATATGCATAGTAAAGCGGAAGGTAGTCGAGGTCGACACTGAAAATCAACACAACACTCCCTTACCTCCTCAGAATCAGCTGTCATCTCCGCTAGAGGACTTTCTTGTATTTTATTCACTTGCTGAAGGAGAAGGTCACAGTAAAGCCTTAGCTCAGACATTTTTGTTTTCAGAGCCTCTGAGCTTTCCTGGAGCTCTAAGAAAATAGAAGAGACTAGTGTTGAAACTCACTTTCTTCCAGTTCTTTGAAGAATTGCAAATTGAGGAAACATCATGAACTGAATGAGTTATGTAATTTAATTTGAATCCCAAGAAATGGGTTTTGCTTCCTGTATAGACACATTGTCTATCGAAACAGGAAGTTGGTGCCAGGACACAAAATATTTTTGGTATTTTTTTTTTTCCTGGAAGTGTAAGACTATAAATATTCAATGTGTATAACTGCTGAAAAGTTAATTTTGTCATATTGTAGGAGGAGCTAAAAAGTCCATAGACACGGACTAAAAACCACTACCGTATATTGTTCACAATACCCTATAAATTACTTTATCATATTTCACTGTCATATTAACACGAAAAGAGAAGCCAGATGATCTACAGAGAATATCTTGTTTACTTCAGCAGAAATACAACACTCACCCTTCTCTCTCTTGGTTCGGTTGTCTGTAAGACAGGCTTTTGCAGTCCCTAACGCCACAAGCCATTTCTGCCTCTCTGCTGCATTAATTGCCCTGAGATAAAAGTACTGTTCTCCTGGAATGATCAGATCAACCCTTGTGAAATCCGATGGGTGAACTACAATGGGCAGAGGGAGGACAAAGAAGATGGATTAGCAAAGTATACCTTCTGTAAGATCATTCACAATAGTAATACAGAGCTTAGGTGTTTCTTCAACTACGGACATTTTGGGGCCTGTGGACTGTCAAAAAATAATAACAGTGAACACACATTAATCACAAACTTTTCCCCCTTATTTTATTAAGAAAAGCAATAATGATTTCAACCACAGTGTCATTTACACCACATCTCAAATTAAGTATTATGTTTAATAGCATTTTAGGGTCGAAATGATGGCAGTGGATTTTTTTGGACATTTTTTCACATTTTATTTGGACACATTTGTCTTTTAAATGGCTAACTTCATATCTAGCATTTCATGTATCCTAAATACAATTAAATAATATTTTCACCCTTTTTGCTGAAATTACAGGTTAGAAATGAGGTACAATAAAAAGAATCTCACTTTTTTTTATTCTGATCATGTCTCATATTTTATCTCAAGCTCTTTACTGTTTTATCATGTATTAAGGGACATTTGTTTGATGTAGCAGTGGCAATAATAATACATCATTTTCACACAATAAATATCGAAATATGTTGTTTACTTTACAGTTATAACCATGTAATAATTCATACTTTTACAATGATTTTTTTTATAGCTGGGTTTGATAGTCTGGGTCTTAGAAAAGAGTAAAATCATAAAATCATCATTTGAAAAGTAGAAAAAATAAGTTCTGATGGCATGATATATATATATATATATAAAGTTTTCAAGACAGTAATGAAAATCAACCCCTAGGACATAAAAGTTCCCGAAGATTGGGTAAGCGTATTATGACATCCTGAAGCATATGAAGAATATATGCTTGTGATGTAACCATTATTAGGTTTCCTGCTCAGGTTAGGCATACATTTCCCTTACCCTGTATTTCACACACAGATATTTTGATGCTGCCCTTGCATCCTTTCCATGCATCTTCTTGAGAATCATAGTAGGAAAGAGTGCCTCCTTCAAGAACAAACCAACGGGGCTGCCAACCTTCAAAAGACACAAAAGAGCCATAATGACATTTTAAGCTGTAGCTGACACATGTACTGTAACAATGTATCTGATGACGTTTAAGATACATGAACATAATATGGCTTGACTTGTTTTTCCAGTCAAGAGGCTTTTAACAACCCGTTGTCAAAAGTGAATAAAACACAATCCAATACATAATCTTAGGAACTTTTCTGCGAATGTTTTTTTTTTTTTAGCAGATGAAATGTATGTGGTTGAGTTGGTCACTGCATTGGATAAAGTATCGACACAGAGAGTTAAAGAGGATGATGGCTTAACTTCATTTATACACTACTAAAGCTAGCAAAGAGGCTAATTGCTTACAGACTTCCCTTATTTATATAACACATAACTTTTAACTGTCGCAGCATACATACCACTAATATAGTTGGTCCATTTATAGAGAACTCCCTCCATGGTAGACATTCTCTTGACAATTCATTACTTAGTCGTGGCAAGACTGAGCCCAACACAGCCGCTTTGAGAAACTCGAGATAATTCTTACCTACGACAATTGTACGTAAAAGACGCAAAGTTACTGCTGGGAGTTGATATTACGCAAATGATTTTCGTAAATGCTTCGAGAATACAAATCCATGTGATCATAGAAGGATCGGCCCATGCGCTTGACGTCTGTGGGATTTTCTCTTAGCGCATCTCTGATTGGATACAGTACGAGCATGTGGGCGTTGTTGTACTGGGGCTATGTGTTTGACGTCCAATGAAAATTGAATATTGGTTGTTAAGGCGTGTCAACAAAAGAAGCTGACCAATAATAATACAGGGTTGAATTTTAGGGTGGTAACGTTTACATTGGGATCTGGGAGTGTGATCTGAAGTCCGTCTCATTTCTTCGAGTCGGTTCTATTGAACAGGTCGTTTTAAAAGATCATACTCAACGAGTCTTTTACGCCATTGCGTTATGACATCCAAACGTGGCATATTACATTCTCATTATTCTAATCTACTGTTTTAAATTTAAAAAGAACAGCATTTACTCTGTCATAATAGAAATCTTTTCTAACAATTATAGACCTACATCTTTGCTATCACTTTTTTATTATTAATTTAACACATCCTTGCTGAATAAAAGTATTAATTTCTTTTTTTAAAAGAAAGAAACAAATTACCGACCCCAAACTGTTGAATGGCAGTGTATAGTATTGTTACAAAAGATTTCTATTTATAATAAAGGCTGTTCTTTTAAAACTTTTTATTCATCAAAGAATCCTGAAAAAAAAAGTAGACATCACAGGTTATAAAACAAAATATTAAGCAGCACAACTGTTTTCAACATTAAATCAGCATATTAAGAATGATTTCTGAAGGATCAGGTGACACTGAAGACTGGAATAATGGATGATGAAAATTCAGCTTTGCATTAAAGTAATTATATTTTAAAGTATATTAAAATAGAAAACCATTATTTTAAATTACAATAATATTTCACAATGTTTTTTTTCTGTATTTTCAGCAAATAAACGCATGAGCATAAAAGACTCCTTTCAAAAACTTTAAAAATAGTAATGTTTCCATACTAAAATTCACGATCACTTGGCTAGTTTAAAATTTCAGTAAGTTTTATATTTCAATAAGTCATACAATCAGCCATTAACATGTCTGCTATTAACTAGATTTGACTGTGGACTACTTCTCACTCCGTATTGAATTGCTCGGATTTATTTAGACAGGTTTGTGAACAGGTTCGAACAGTTCATTGAAGAGAGTCGACTCAAAAGAACGATTCGTTAACGAATCGGACCAACATCGCTAGTTTTGGGAAAGACCCCTGCAGAAACTTTGCTTGCCACGTAGTCGCGGCTGCACAACTTGTAGCCTACTTTGTGAAGCTTTTCATGCTTTGTTGTGTATGAAACGTCAGCTTAACAGTTAGAGGTTGTTAAACTGTTCTTGATATTAAAATGATTCCAGAATTGTGGACATGCATTTTTTCTGCATTCTTCTTTTACGTGCATGGAGCAAAACTTCCGGAACCAGAGGTGAAGATAGAAGTTCTATACAAACCTTTCCTTTGCCATCGTAAATCCAAATACGGGGATATTCTTCTGGTTCACTACGATGGCTTTCTGGAGAGTAATGGCACAATGTTTCATTCCAGGTGACATCTAATGAACCATCTACTGCATGTTCATAAACTTTAAATAGACTGCACACAAGAACAGACTGCATTAACCTAAGCCTGCTCTTTTGTTTTGAGAATTCATTAGTTAACTGTCCACATGTAAGCTTAAACAGCTATGTTTTGGAACATGGTAGTTTGTTTCGGATATAAGGTGAGCATTAGCATGGTATATGGTAGGCTATACCATGGTCCAAAAACAGTTTGACCACCTTTAGCTGTTATCTGGTGTGTTGCTGGACCAAGATGGTCTAATTTGGATCAGCTAATGACCAACTTAGACCAGATAGAAACCACCTATCATGTTCCAAAACACAGCTGCCAGCTCAAGCATGTCAAGTATGCATGTCTCTAGTTTAACAGAGTTTTGCACATGTCTTGTAATCGGCAGCCGTCATCATGGAGACAAAAACCCTGTCTGGTTCACATTGGGGATCCGTGAGGTGATAAAGGGTTGGGACAAGGGTCTTCAAGGCATGTGTGCGGGGGAGAAGAGGAAACTGACTGTCCCTCCAGCTCTTGCATATGGCAAAGAGGGCAAAGGTGTGCCAGCAAGATATTCATAAAGCATTATTTGAGGAACTTTGGCTTCCTACACCTTCCAATATTGAACTTGTCATTGACGTTGCATTAAAGGAATAGTTCACCCAAAAAATGAAAATTCTCTCATCATTTACTCACCCTCAAGACGTACTTAACCTGTATGAGTTTTTTGTTCTGTTGAATACAAAAGATGATATTTTGAAGAATGTTGGTAACCAAATAGTTGATGGCCCCCCATTGACTTCCATATGAAAAGTAAATACTATGGAAGTCAATGGGGACCAGAACCTGTTTGGTTTCCAAAATTCTTCAAAATTTCTTCTTTTGTGTTCAACAGAAGAAAGAACTTCAAACAGGTTTAGGGAAAATAAATGATGACAGAAATTTGAGAGCGATCTAAAACACCCCGTACAAAAAGAACTTACATTATCTTAATGGTTATGCTCTGTACTCAGGTAAAATCCCTCCGGAGAGCAGTCTGATCTTTGACATCGAGATCATGGAGATCCGAAATGGGCCCAGGTCACATGAGTCCTTTCAGGAAATGGACCTCAATGATGACTGGAAGCTTTCCAGATCAGAGGTGTGTGTGTCAAAAAGCAGCTGTTTCATCAAGCATGGGTTTCAGCATAGTCATTTATTTCAGAGAGTTATTTGTGTTATTCCTTTCTATTTCAGGTCAAAGAATACTTGCGCAAAGAGTTTGAAAGACATGGATACGCCCCCAATGACACCCATCATGAAGTGATGGTTGAGGACATCTTCCAAAAAGAAGATGAAGACAATGATGGATATATATCATCCCGGGAGTTCACTTATAAACATGATGAACTATAAAAACACACTCCTGCAAAACCACAGCAATGTTTACCTTCAAAAGATTCCAATATTTACTTTCAGAGATTTGCAGCGTGTCAGTATCATTTCACATAATGTTACGGTATACAAACAGGTTTTCTGTTATCTACAGGTCATGTATGTAAATAAAGTGTCTTTTTATTATTATTTTTATTTACACTCAGGTGGTATAAGGTTTGTTTGAGCTGTTTGTAGTGTTTTAGGTCTTTTTCAATGGCAAGATGAAAATTTAATTCTGCTCAAAGAGAATGTTTTTTTCCCAAAAGTGCCTGTTCACTGAAATTGAACATTTCAGTGCTGTTTATTTTTTAGTATGTGTGTGTGTGTGTGTGTGTGTGTGTGTGTTACTTACTTCAGAGCCAAATGAATTATGCACACTGTTATGTTACAATATTGTTACAATATTTAGAACGTTTTTCAGGAGTTGCCTGTAAGTATAGCCTATTTCTTATAAAGCCTATAAAATATATCAGTTTTGTGCTGCTCATCACTGTTGACATTGTAGTTTTATACACCATCACTAGAGGGAGCTCTTCTCTTAGCCTGTTATAGCCTGTCATGACACAAATAACTTGAGATCAAGCCAATCAAATTAAGTTGTGTGATTTTTTTTTTTTTTTTGAGTGATTATCTGCAATGGCTCATACATAGATAAAACCATACTTTAGTGTTTAATAATGAACAAAGAGACAGAAAACTCTGAGACACGCAGTTAAAATGCAGTCATGTGGCATTTCATTGATAGATGGCATAGTTATCATCACACACCTACATAATGCAGATGACTGGTTTGTGGTGTGTATTATAATTTGCATACAACATTTACTCAGAGCCATGTTTAACAACATTCCATTCTTTTACTATGGCATTACACAAGTACATAAACCTTTGCAACATTAGTCTAAGTTACATTTACAGTTTGTGTGTTTAAGTATGTTTGCTTAACCAGTTTGGTCCAATGGCTCTGTCTCAAATCACTTTGGACAGAACCATCAACAAATATTTTTTTAGGAAACAGCTATTTTGCCAAACAAATAGGCTATATAAGTCTATGCACAACATGGATTTCTATGAAACCCGATTAGTTCATTTTTTCAAAATAAAATGGTTAGATAGGGTAGCCTCTCAAACGTGCAATAGGCTATTTATAGGCTAATGTAGATCAAACCGAATTTCCCCTTGACAATCAGGGAAAAACTACATACCAGGGTAAAAATAAAATAAAAAAAATCGAGCCTATAGCCTACATCATATCTTCTGTATTTCCTTCATTTAAGGTAGCTTAAAACACGTATTTTAAAGTCCCTTTTTAAAATAGGCTAAGAGACTTTTCTTAAAAAAAGAAAGAAAAAAAAGCTAAACAATAAATACATGAGCCTACAGAGTAAATGTCTCTTTCTTTGGCTTAATTCATCAATGCATGAAGCGTGCAGTGTCTCTAAAAACAACCAGTAGTAAAAAAATAACAATAATCCCAGATTACTAGGCTACTGCAGCAGAGTCATTGTCAGTCACTGAAATTGAAATCAATGGCTCCAGCAAATGATGGGTTTTTTTTCATTACATCCTCTACGCGACAAAATTACAACGCTCTTGCGACAGATGGAGAAGCGGAAGATTCCATTCACAAATCCCAGAAGACGCGTCGCGCGCTTGCAGTGTAAACAGCTCCATTATAAAGGTTCTTTTTTGGTTGTTGCGTAAATAAACAGCGTAAATTGGTTAGCTGTGCTACTTCGCGACAGCAATGTTTTTGTCATAAAAGTTGGTCTCGGGCATGGTGACCCGCACTTTTCGTTTCTCCTTGAAACGGCCAGAACGTGAAACTGTCCAATTTCTGCGGCACGTGTTTTCGTTGAAGGAGGGCTCGAGCTGAGAGTCGTCGTAAGTCTCGTCGCTGATCAGATTGTTGCTTTTGTTCTCGCTCACAGTTTGTTTCGCTGACGTCTTGTCCGAATTTCCAAATTCCTGTTGGGTTTCTTTCAAATTGTTCTTATTTCTTCCAGTTAAGTTTTTCCACCAGGATCTGTCTGCCATTCTGTCCTAATCTTCAATTCACACTGAAATGCACATTAAACGTTTATAAAACAAAACAACACCAGTTACAATTATATACCTAAACAATTATATGATTAAGACAACATATGTTTTATACATTGCTTTAACTTATTTTGGTGAGTTAAAGCAATGTAAAAACATATGTTGTCTTAACTTAAACAATTTCCAACTGTTTTTTTATAAGTTATACAAGATTCAACTCATTTTTTAAAGTCAGTTTAATGTAATTTAAGTTGAAATGACTTAAACATACAAGTTGGTTGTACATAAAAATTGAAGGCAGCAACTTTTTTTTTTACAGTGTTATATAGCCTAAAGCATGTCCTCAAGATAAAGTTCTTTCTGTATCATCCATCAGAAACACTCACCTCAGCAGCCGATGTGTTAATGTCAGTCAGAGACTGAGTGTCAAGTCTTTCGTTTCTTTTAAGAAAACATCCAGCAGAACAACCTTGTGGCTGTTTTTTTGTCTCTATATCCAAACCCACAACATCAGCTCTTCAGGTACAGCTAAACTATAATAAGTGATGAATTCATTCATTTATACTTCACCTGCGTGCGTCTCAAACACCCTCCTTCCTCTCTCCCATTGGTCTGTTGAGCTCCTCCAGCTGCCCTCAGGAGGCTGGTTTCAGGTTCTTGCTTCACCTGTGATTTGGTAAAAAAAAAAAAAAATCTCTTTGGGGCATATACCGTCTCAGCTGTCTGATACTAAAACAATGCTGCCGTTCACACCCCTGAATTTGGAACAAGAAAACCGAGCTTAGAGAAAACCAACGCCTAGAGAGCTGACCGAGCACTAATTACAGCAACATATTTCCCATACTGCAAATGTGAGGTGTTGCAGCTTCAAACAATGACACAAAAGCCACTTTCAGAAGTTCATTTCGACTGCCACTTCATTTTGAAGTCCAGAATCAAGGTCTTCACAGATTTAAAAGTAACCAGATTTACATAATTTAATAAATCAGCATTTGATAAATTACAATCATAATTACAATCATTCTTCACAGAAAATATCTTCAAAAAAAACAAATTGTAGAAAGGTCTTATATCAAATAAACAATTTGAAGGAAGTCAAACCAAGGTGACTGTACCGTTTATCAACATTTTTTTTCGAGGTGAATAAATGATCAGGAGACTAAGATGAATACAATACAAACAATTTTGTTCTTGAAATGGGATCAAGTTCAATGAGGAAGGAACAAGCACTAAATAAATGCTCTAAGAACAACTTTTTTCCAGTCACAGAATAATCACTCTATTGTTGTCAGGGTAAACAAAAAAACTATTTCAAAGGCATGGGTTATTAAACACAGAATTATTAACACTGGATGAACAAGAAAATAACTATTTACACTCCATGTAAAATTAAAAAGTGCTTTACACATGATCTCAATTGTCTTGCCATTATAGTACATATACATTTACCAACCACATGACCCAAAAATATATATATATATTTTTTTTTTATTCATATTTCTGACAATTTGTTAGTTTCACAATGCTAATTGACCATAGATTCATACGTCATGTACAGCATCAAGGTCAGTGCATCATACTTGTTTGGCATCAGAGAAAACAAAGGTTCTATAATTGCATTTAAACAAAATGCCAATTAATATTAATTCAAACTGTATATCAGCATTGATACACGTTACTCCATGCTTAACAGCATTTGTTTGAATAAAATCAAAAAGGTAAATGCGACTTTTTATAAAACGTCACAATTACCTTTTTTAACTGCAAATTTATATCTCACAATTCTGACTTTTTAACCCCAGAATGGTGAGTTTATGTTTCGCAATTCAGATTTACTCACAATTTGTTAGTTTAACAAAAAAAGGTCAGAATTGTGAGATATAAACTCACAATTGTGAGAAAAAAGTCAGAATTGTAAGATAAAAAGCCGCAATTACTTTTTATAATTGCAAGATTATACCTTGCAATTCTGACTTTATTTCTCGCAATTCTGAGTTTGTAAATTCAGAATTGAGATATAAACTTGCAATTTTAAAAAAGTAATTGTGACTTTTTAATCTCACAATTCTGACTTTTTTTTCTTTCTTTTTTTTACAATTGCGAGTTTATAACGCAATTCTATTTTTCACAGAACTGCAAGTTTCGACTTTATAACTTACAATTCTGACAATTGTGAGATATAAACTCGGAATTGTGAGAAAAAAATATCAGAATTGACATATATAAACTTGCAAAAGTCAGAAAAAAAGGACAAAAGTCAGAATTGTGAGATAAAATTCGCAATTGCCTTTTTTAGTTTTTAAAACTTCCATAGTTTGGGGGGTTTGATACACATTGAGTGAAATGTGCAATTAGTTCCAAATTTCATATGCAAAATCTGATGAGAAAACATATAATATCTTTGATATGTGTGGCAGGCCGCTTTTTCAAATGTACAAGCTCTTTAAAGTCTTTAAAAGATGTCTTCATTTCAGGTGTTTAAAACAAGATGTCTTCATGCTCTATCAGGAGCTGAACAATCAGTTTCTGGTATCTCATATCGTTGAGAGTGGCGAGCGTGTTCTGGTCCGGGGGTCTCATGAGCGTCGGGCCGAAAACGATTCCTAGGTTCTCTGAGTTCATGTAATTGTCCTTCTCGTACATGGTGACCCTGATAAACAGAGACAAGACATGGAAAAAACACCTCAGACAATATAATTTTAGTAATAAACACAGGTAAAAGTGATATACTTTCCATGGTTAGGGAAATGCGGCAAAGCTGGCTTGACAAGCTTTCCTTGAGGATCATTTTAAAGGTTTCCTGAAGTGCACTGAGCTAAAGTGCCGTATTGGGTTTCCTGTTTCCTCCTAATCATTCTTAGAAGTTTTATATTGCATGGTGACAGGAAGTAAACTCACTTTATAAAGCTGTAGGTAAAATGCTTAAACGCAACAAAAACCTGTACACCCACCGGCTCAATGTGGAGTCGTGAAATAAACTATGGGACCGGAATCTAAGGGAGTAGTAAATGTGTCTGGAAATTCAATACATCTGTGGTTTTACCTCTTTAGGTGTGTCATCAGGTACCGCAGGGCCTCATAGTGGGCTGGAGGAAGTTGGAGGAGACCATCATGAACTGCCTCGAGTCTGGAGTCAGGGTCTGTTATTTCTGATCAAAAAAAAAAAAGTTTTGAAAAATACTGTTCAGAATTATGCTAAAACCTGCCACTAGTCCACATACTTTACTGATGTTTAAACATAATTTGGTCCAAAATCTGAGAACACTATAGTGAAAGTGATTATTTTTTGTATTTTTGACATATATTTTTTGATATTTTTTTCCAATTAGAAATAACACTACCATTCAAAAGATTGTGATTTTTAAGTATCTAATGCTTACCAAGGCTGCAGTTATTTGATCAAAATATGGTAAAAAATATAGTCAGATTGTGAATTATTATGCTTTTTTTTTTTAAGTTGAATTTTCATCATCATTACTCCAGTCTTCAATGTCACATGATCCTTCAGATCCTTGCAGCTCAAGAAACATTTCTTATCATCACTGTTGAAAACAGTTTTAATATTTTTGTTAACTGTCAAACTTTTTTTTTTCAGGATTCTTTGATGAATAGAAAGTTCTAAGAAATCTTTTGTAACATTATAAATGTTTTTAATGTCACGTTTGATCAAATTAATGTGCCCTGGCTGAATAAAAGTATTAATAAACAACAACAACTTACTATCCCCAAAGGTTAGTGTATATTTAGTAGTGGTATACGGCAGTGTATATTTTCATATAATATTGGACCCAACTGAATAAAATATATTTATTTATTTAAATAGTTTTTTATTAATTTATATATTTGTTTATTCATTCATTCATTGACATAAGTTATTTCATTATTTAGTGCCATATCAGAATCCAAGAGAATTTAATGGTGAAATCAAAGTAAAAAAAAAAAAGGGAAATAAACATTATTAAGGATAATCAAATCACAGATTAGAAGAGAAAGTTCCTGGTTGAATGTCAGTGAAAGTGTTCTGAAGTCTCTTACTGGCTGCCTGTATGAATTTGGAGTAGACGTCATATGTGATAACTGGAATGGGCAGATCTCGCAAATAAAGCTTCAGAGCTCCAGCGATTATATTGATGTCTGAGTAGGTATTGGCACTGATGTCCGCCTTCTCACCATCTACGGAGGAGAATTAGTTTTCTGTTATGAATAGCAGATGAATCACTATACTTCACCAAGAATACATTGTTTTGACTGGAAAAAGCCTGGGCTTTTCCATCCAGGTTGAATGTTGATAGAATTACAGTGATATAAATGACACCCATAATACACATGATTACACATAATCTAAAGGTTGAAGAGTTATTCTACTACACACCTCTATCGAAGGCCAGCCGGACATCTTCTATGTGGTCTGTGAAGCCTGACACTCTGTACAGACCCTCTGATTTCAAACCTGAAAGAAGCAGAAGCAACACCTATTTACTTGAACTATCCAGACAGTGGATTTGGAGGCGGACGTATTGATCAAACTAGGGCAGCAACCAACTAATCGGATGATCAATTAATCTGTCGATAATTTCTTCAATAAACGGAATATTCTGCATATTGCTAGGTATATCTATTATCGATTCAACTGTGTGTACAGGAACGTCATATCCCTCACTCACTTATTCTTATATTTGTACTTTATTGTAAAGCGACCTTGAGTACTCTGAAAGGCGCTATATAAAATAAACATATTATTTATTATTATTATTATTATTATTTATTATTATTCTGGAAAATGTATATGTGGAGCAGTTATAAAGTCCTTCACTCAATAGACTTGACTTGAAAAGTCTCTTCTATTTTTATTTTCTCAATATTTTTGTGTTAACCACAAGCAAGCTGGATGACACATCCTTAAAAGTAAAGGTTCTTCATTGTCATATACAGTAGTTCCACAAAGAAACTTTAACATCCATGAAACCTTTCCATTGAACAAAATGTTCTTGATAGTGGAAAAATGTTCTTTAGATGATTAAAATCTTCATTTCACTGAAAGGTTCTTTGGGGAGGCCAAAAATGTTTCTTCTATGGCATCAATGCAGAAACCCTCTTTTGGAACCTTTATTTTTAAGAGTGTATCCTCTGATAATGATATAATAATTGTACGGAAGATGCAATTTTTTTCCCCTTTGTGCCAAAAATGATGATACTCTATTTGCATATACATTCTGATTAGTCATTTGTGGATTCGTTTAAACAGAGATTTGCAAACTTTTGATGCCATTGACCCCCAAATATGAGGAGGTACCGTCTTCACTGAATATAAAAGCAGCTACATAATTATTTATCATATATATATATGATCATGTAAGCCGTTCTCAACATTGGAAAGGTCAAATCTGGTCTGTGACACTCGAGAGCAAGTCGTCTGTGCATCTGCAACTTAGTTATTCACATGTATGTATATCTATACAGTATATGCAAAAGACATTAGCAGATGATTTTCACACCATTTAGTTAATCATTAATGTGATAATTCTCCATGTGGATGTTGCATATTGAGTTCTACATAAAACACAAACCAGCACATTTTCACCTCTGAGGTTATCCCATTCCATCTGTAACTTATAGCTCAGCGGTTTTCACAGCCATAGGTTGCACAATGCTGTGACATTTTCTGAAGAAATTTCATTGATTTGTTAGTGTGACTGATGAACAGTCATGTTAACCATTCCATGATGACGTGTCTAGAGTGTGACGCACCCGGCCATCCACATGATGTAAAAGAAGACCAGGCCACCTTCTTCCATTGCTCCGTGGTCCAGTTCTGATGCGTTGGTGCATTCGGCGGTGGACAGGGGTCAGCATGGGCACCCTGACCGGTCTGCGGCTATGCAGCCCCATACGCAACACACTGCGCTGCACTGTGTATTCTGACACCTTTCTATCAGAGCCAGCATTAACTTCTTTGAGCAATTTGAGCTACAGTAGCTCGTCTGTTGGATCGGACCACACGGGCCAGCCTTCGCTCCCCACGTGCATCAATGAGCCTTGGTCGCCCATCACCCTGTCGCCGGTTCACCACTGTTCCTTCCTTGGACCACTTTTGATAGATACTGACCACTGCAGACCGGGAACAGCCCACAAGAGCTGCAGTTTTGGAGATGCTCTGACCCAGTCGTCTAGCCATCACAATTCGGCCCTTGTCAAACTCGCTCAAATCCTAACGCTTGCCCATTTTTCCTGCTTGTAACAACTTTGAGGACAAAATGTTCACTTGCTGCCTAAAATATTCCACCCACTAACAGGTGCCGTATTCACCTCACCTGTCAGTGGTCATAATGTTATGCCTGATTGGTGTATTTACACACACACACACACACACACACACATTTATCTGTATTGGATTAAAACTAAAATTGTAAAATTTGATCACTTTCGTTGTAACCTTCATTTTTGTTTCTCTCTCAAATAAACACATTTTGAGAACTTAAAGAATGCTCTCTTTAATGAAAGGCGTCAACCAGTAAGTCATAATGTGAAGAATGTTAGCTTAACTTCCTGTTGTTTTAAGTTAGGCATCTAAGGATTCTTCTTTTTACACATTTTAATATGACAGGGTGACAGTGATTAATTGCCTTGCTGAAGGCCACAAAGAAGGTTTGAGCCTGGGATCTCCATGTTAAAATGTTCTGATTATTTATAGCACTCCATTTTAGAAGCGATCAGTACCTCTGTGCTCGATCTCTTTGATACACATGTCCAGAACCATCGGCCGCGGCGTGTTGTGGGCTTTGACCAGCGTGGTGAGATCACAACTGAAGACCTTCTTGATCCTGCGCAGGTCCGGCTGACAGTCGCTGGGCACTAGTTTGGAGCACTGTTTGTGCACGTTCAGCCCGCAGTCTGCAAGAGCAACAGGTCAGAGGGTTAGAGGAGCATGAGACAAAAGAGACAAAAAGACAGACTCCAAGAGACTGGAGCGCGTGTGTGTGTGTCTGATCGAGGGTATATCCTCAGGGGTAAAGTATACGTGCAGAGACAGGTGAGTGTCAGTCAAGCTGGGTGGTAAAGTGTAACAATATCTGTCACATGCTGCCGTGTGTCCGTGGCTCTGTCAATCTGAGAACGTAACCTTGAGTGACCCTGGGCGAGTTTGTCAGCAGGCCTACATACATACATGTATGTATCCAAAAAGGAGAGACCAGTTGAAATTAATTTTTGTGGTAATCAACATTATACAAGTGCTGTTGATTCAGCGTAACGTATTGAACCCGGGGCACATTACGTGAACAATATTCCTAGAATGATAAACACTTTTGATCTGTTCATTATACAAAGTGATTGTGTTGCTTCAGAAGACTTGGAATGTACCAGTCGAGTCACATGCTACCTTTATGCTGTTTTTGGCACTTGAAACTATTGGGTCCCATAATGATTATATTGGACAAAAACAGCTAAATCATTCTTTTATGCGGAAGAAAGAAACAAGAATTTGGAATGATGACAGAATTTTCAATTTTTAATGAATTTTAAGTTATACATATATGTTAGATGAGTGTTGTTCATGTTTGCTCATAGTATATCAACTATTATTTATTTACACTTGATTTAATTATGGTGTAACGGTGTAAAAGTATTGTTCACTGTTATTTCATGTCAACCATTGTATGAACTAATGTTATCACATTAAACTGTTAAATGTGACCTTTTTCCTTATTACTGGTGTTTGCTCATATTCAGGGTTACATATTTAAACAACCCCTTAAAGTATTAAACTTCGGCATGTAATGTGCCCCGCACTATTTGTGCTACAGACATGAATGATCTGACATGTGTTGAATCAGAATATATTATGAATAGAATATTTATGGAATGTCATTTTTTTCTTGAGCTAGTACCCACCCAGAACACCCTAGGAAACCCATAGCAAAGCTCCGGGAACCGCACCCAAGCATCAGTGGCGATGTTTCGCAATTTCTTAAAAAAATGTCAAATGTAAACAAATTCTTGGTAGCAAGAATTATGCTACAAATAATGAGTGCAAAAATGAGTGCCATTTAACTTCGGCATGTAATGTCCCCCGCACCATTGGTGCTAGAGACATGAATACCTCAAATGATCTGACATGTTCAGAATATATTATGAATAGAATATTTAGGGAATATCATTTTTTTTTCTTGAGCTAGTACCCACCCAGAACACCCTAGGAAACCCATAGCAAAGCTCTGGGAACCGCACCTAAGCATCAGTGGCCAAGCATTCTTGGTAGCAAGAATTTTTCTACAAATAATGAGTGCCATTTAACTCAACAGATATTTCTTATCAACATCAGAAGATGTGAAAAAAGTAATTAACCTGGTTTGATACTCTGCTTTGACACAGGGACAGTGGTGTGTGTGAAGTGGAATGTGGGAAAAGGCTGGTCTTTCTTTCTATGTCTCCAGTAGCATTCGCATGCTGTCCCACTGTTCCTCATCTTCAGCAATCCCATTAATCACTCTCTCTGTCCATTTTACTGCCTTTACTGCCACATCTTTACACCATAGAGAAAAAATAAGAAAAAACTCTGTGTTCCTCCTTATGGGCCAGGGGACAAATTCAACTCTGCTCTAATTCTCAATGTGTCTGATGACACTGGCTCGCCCGGGGGCCAATGTGAAATAAGAGCCCCTGTGTGAAAAGAAAAGGCTTGAATAATGGTCCAAATGGATGAGACCATTTACAGTGAGACAAACCAACAGTAATGCCTTGTGACTGGATTGGGTTTACATACAGAGTGTTTTGGGAAAGTACTGTCAAACAATAACCAGTGTTAACATGAGATCTGACCAAACCTGTAATCATGGCATTATGGTGCATTTGTTTATCTAGGGCACATCAAAGAACATCCTGTATCGAAGATGGTTATCGATTTAATATGGCTGTTTTTTTATAGATATATTTTTTACATTTTTAATAACAAAAACAAAAACAAATACAAGGCAAGACAAAGCAACAACAAAAAAAAAGCTAGACAAAACCAATGCAAATCAAAACAAAATGAAACGAAACAAAGGTAGTGAGAGTTCACCCTAAAACGAAAATAAAGTCATCATTTATTCACCCTGGTGTTGTTCTAATACCGTATGCCCTTCTTTCTTTTATGGACCACAAAATGAGAATTTTCAAAAAAGTATCACAGAATGGACCACTGCTACACGTGTCTTATATCCCACATGTTCTGGGGGTATACGATAGGGTTTGGTGAAAAACAAACTGAAATCCAATATATTATTCAACAAAAATCCTGACCTTGGCCGTTGGTCTTCTGTGCACGGCTGCATGAGATGCACGTTTGTGAGACTCTATTACCACCGCAGTTCACTTCGTCTCGCTCAGAAAAAGCACACAGGTTGTGAGAAATCAAGATTAACAAAAACATAACATGAAATACAACGCCTAGAAATCCCAATAAAGTATCCGTGTACTTCCTTCACTGAGTCAAATATGACCAGACCTCCGTCAGAATGACTGTCGACCGATGTGAAAGTGATTACTTACAGTATGTTATGACAAACACAGCGCATATAGCTCAGAGAAGGTACATGGATTGTATTTCATGTCGCATTTTTGTTAGTCTGGATTTTATCACAATTAGAGTCTCACGAATGTGCATGTCGTGCAGCTGCATAGAAGACCAACGGCCAAGGTCAGGATTTTTGCTAAATAATACATTACATTTTCATCAAACCCATATACTCCTTTAAGGGAGATCACCCTGTCAAGGTTTATTTATCGATAATGGGTGTCTGACAGTACATTATCCCTTTATTAATGCCACAGCTAACATAAAATATGAATGAACAATTTACTTAATAACATTTATTAATCTCGTTAATTAATAACAATTTCATTAAGTTAATTAATAATATTAAATTCTATAGTTAATAGGTTACTTTTAGGTTACCTACAAATACATTTTATAAAAAATACATTAAAGGGATTGTTTACCCAAAAATGTTTAAAAACAAACAAACAAAACATCTTTTTTGTTCCACAGTCATACAGGTTTGGATGGAACAATATGAGGGTGAGTAAATAATGACATCTTTTCCAGTGTCCTCATTTTTACTATCCCATTAACATTAGTTCATTGTTATGATCAAACATGAATGAAGAATATAAAACAATAACAATCAATGAACAATAGTATACTCAAAAATTAACCTAGATTAATAAATGCTATAAAATGGTTCGTTGTTAGTTTATGATCCATAATTCTTTAATTTTAAAGAATTTGACTTAAAATTTGACTTGTAAAGTTATTGCATAATTCATACACGTCACTTCTAAAGTAACCAATAAAGTGTTATACTTTCTGATACCAAGAAGACTGTCCTGGTTCACCTGGGTGTGCCTCTCTCACAATACTCTATGGTGTATACAGTATGTACATCTATAAATAGTCAACACTCAACAGAACGCACTCAACTGGTTTGGACCAGATGTCATTTAGGAATTCAGAGTATTACCCATACTTCAGCATTCTAGTTAAAACCCTTATTGTCCCAGGTATCACTTTCAGTATTTAGCTTCAGGTTTCCACAGCACATTGGAACATTTCTACAGGCAATTGAGCATTGTTACCAGAACGGCATGAGAAATCATCTGGATCTTGAGTGGCTATTGATTGTAACTTGATATGAATGATGCTCCTTGGCTGGTGCCATAAATCTGATGAACAGTTTATTTGTGTGGGAGAGTTTGTGATTGGTGGAGGGTTACCTGAACAACGGACGCCCTGGGCGATAAGACCCCACATGAAGTTAGCACAGTATTCACACCAGTGCGGCCCTCTGAAGGTGTGCACCTACACCAAAGACAAAGTTGTCATCATGAGTCACACACAAGCACACAAACACACTTTGAAAACTCATGCACACACACAAACACAATGTCAGTGATTTGTTCATCTCTACATTTTCATTTCCAGCTAAAGCTCACAATAAAAGTTCCACAGAAACACGTGGTGACATTTCCAGAGTATTTCTCACTGTACCTGACAGCTAACAATGCCCGTCTCACTCAGACTGGACAAACATAAAGATCAAAGCACAACACATTTATACTTTAGACCTATAATGTACAAAGAACCACTGGCATTATTATTTTCGAAACTTTGTCAGGGTACTGCTCAAAATTGTTTATGTTCAGTATTTTATTCAATACATCATCAATACGGTTTCGAAAACACGTTTTTGTCTAACCTTGATTCACTATGGTAAGCATATTGCAAGTGTTGATATTTTAGACCAGCGGTTCCCAAACTTTTTTCCTTGCGCACCCCCTTCTATGTCCCAACCGGGTTGGCGCACCCCCAATCCCCACTTAAATTATTATTATTTTTTTTTTTTACGCAACAAAGCTTTGTTTTATTGTCATATAAAGACTCATGTTTTATCATGCTCAAATAACCAGAACACACATGACAATAACAACATAAACAAAGTTTCAATATAATGCAACAAAGCTACGCACAAGCTTCCACTTTTAACCCTTTCACACCAATGCGACCGTTATTTAGAATTTGTCACTTTAATGTTTCCATGGTGACGCGTCATTGCTTGTCACGGGACACAGCGCAACCACAACACAACGCTGAATGAATGAGGATCTGCTTTTATGTCATTTTTCCTTTTTTATCAAAAATATTCACAAATGTATTAGCTATAGCATGAAACACTGATATTCCGATTGTCAAATATGTGTAAGTGGACGCGTTGTGTTGTTTAAACGCCTTCATAACGATTGCGTTAGTTGAGCTGTATGTGCGATGGGCGGCGTCATGTTAGTTTGTGCCACAGTTCAGAGAAGAATCGGATCTGTTGGATTTACAACACGTCAGTTTCTCCCCTTCTCACGAAATACATGAACGTAAGAGGCTGGTGAACTGGGAGAAGAATAGGGTAAAATGTGAAGCTACGTTCTACACAGTGTGTATCTGATATGAATAAAACGTGTCATCTTATAATAAAAATGATTATTATTGCCTTATCCATAGATATCAGCAAATTCAAAATCATTGTTTTGCTAGTACTTATGTATATTTAAATGTCTGAAACTTAAAATAAACATTATGTGGTTGAAAACACTCAATAGTTGTGATATAGGCTATGACAGCACTGACTGGCTAAGCGCCAGCCAACGCGCGAAAGCACATTTGAATTTAGAAGTTGATAACGTGTGCAGAGCAGTGTTTAGAAGAATACAGCAGCTGCTGTCTTATACGTTTCTATTAAAAACTAACAAATAATAGTTTTTATATTTAAAATATAAGCGATTACAAAGGAAATGTTTACAGTTCATGTTTTTTTTTTTTATTGTATGGAAAAAATCCCATTTAAAAAAACAGACCGCCATTGCATTTTTCCTCTCGCGCACCCCCTGGTGACAGCTCGCGTACCCCTGGGGGTGCGCGCACCACACTTTGGGAATCCCTGTTTTAGACCTGACACGAGGGTTTTCACGAAAAATTGCGCACATATGTCACTCGCCCGTGCATGTCTCGTCAAATCTGTAAATAAAGAAAAGTTGGTCCAGCTACTTTGACGCGTGTATGTAGTGGGAGTGGCATAGGTTAATTGTCACAGCGAGCAAGAAAGGTTGACATGGAGCAGCTAAATCTCCAATCTCTGGGGAGTTACCTGTTAAAAATAAAGGCTGAACAGAGGAGAGTCTGCTAGCAAAAAGAGAAGGCGACATAGCTTGTAATAAAACAAGAATCAACATGGACTTGGCTTTTTGGAAATGGCGCAAACTGAGGGATTTGAAATGTTGTAAAAGCGATGAGGTGATGGCGGTTACTTAACAGGTGAGTACAGTATACTATTTTATTGAACAGATTAATTGCCATATATAGCTCTCTTACAGAGTTCATTGTAATGCATTATCTATTGTGAAGGGTAATTTCATTATGGTTGTTGTAGTGCTGTGCTGTGCTTTATTTTCAAGGAAGTATTGTGTCTATTAATGGGTAAAGCTACAGTAATGTCTTCAGCTTAGCTTGAGATCTTAGTGGCAAATATTAATTTAAACTTGCCACTTGCCACCATGCAATGATCAAAAAAGTTCTGCAAAGAACCGGGAAATACTTAACAGATTAAAACTTTTGCCTGCAAATTCAGTGTATTTAATGTCACAACCATGACGTTTGATGTAGTTTAGGAAACGACAGCCAGTGACAAGTTAAGTTGTCGTCTATAGCTCAGGGAAGTGTCAACCACACCATCTCTGTCAATCCCTGAGACTGCAACCAAGCTCTCAAGGGCCAGTTTGACCATCAGAACAAACTCAGATAAAACTGAACCTTGTCAAAGCTCAGAGGAAAAGATCAAGCCTGTAAGTAAAGACTAGAGGGTGGTACTGTATGAATGTCAATAGAGTGGACCCTCATATAGACACAGCCGTGATTTTTTAAATTAAAATGCATGTGAGTCAGATTACAGGATTGCTAGGGAAAATAATGTGTCTGGCATCTGTTACCAAGCTGCTGAAAGTCACACGCAAAGCATGTTCCCATGCACGCCCTTGTGCTGTCAAAACACAACTCAAAGATTGACAAAAGAAAACACGTAACACGCAGGGTTTGTGGTGAATGCTGAAATATAAATATAATGAGAATACTCTTCATCTGTGTCCACAACCACTGGCTGTTCTCCAAAGCCTAGAGAGCTGTCTACATTCTAACTGAAATACTAACCAATTTGAACCCTAAATAAGGCAGAAACTCTGCACATCAAACAAATAGCACTCAATATGCATAGCACACATGACATTTGGGCAAAATTGCCAGTTTGTTTGATTTTATTTTATTTTATTTTTGTGAAATGAACACATTTCCGTTTACACCTGGTGTTTTAACCTGGTGTCTCTTTTGTCCACTTTCAACCACTTCTGTCCTGATTTCTTCGAGGGGAGGGTCTATGGGCTGGTAAATGTATAGTTTTTTCAGATCTTTCGATCTAATGGACAAAATAAGCTTGCGCAATTTACATATGAATGCGACCGGAGGCGACGGAAAATCATACAGAGAGCATCAGCTTTAATTCCTGCTCTGACAGCCGCAAGACCACGCTCAATGCTGTGAGTGCGTGTTAGAAATCAGGAATTTTGAGAGAACATTGTGCTTGGTACGTTCTTCGTCTTCAAACCAAAATTGGTTCTTCAGCCAACAAAGTTTAAAACCCGTCTGGCTAGCGTGTCTATAATGTTTACGCATTAGGTAAGTAGGCGGAGAGTAGTCGGCCTTTTGCGGCTGTTTCTTTGAAACACTGAGTGAACTCACTAGGTTTTGGAACAGCCTGTGTGAGAACACTTCTGGGGGAGGTGGACACTTAATAATCCATGATGCTCTTATGACTGCAGGTGACATCATGAGGATCCAAGTGACACGTTGAAGTCAGATGATTGCTTCGTTTGGCTTTGTTAGAGTTTTAAAAAGTCAGATGACGATACACTGAGCTCATTCTCAGCCTCAGTCATTTATCAGAAACTGAAAAGGCATGAAATGGGAGACTCCATTCAGCAGCGAGAGGTTATTGATTTGTGCGATCAATCTTATCAGTCAATAACGCTGTTAATGGATTAAAAGCCTAGGCAATTAGGCTCATAGGATAGATTTAGGCTTATTGATACGAGGCTCAAAGTACCGTGCATTTAAACGCTGTCAGCACATAAACATTTGAACGAGACATTAGTAAACATTCGAACAACCTCATAGTAGCGGCACATAAAGAGAGTAATAAAAGTGAAGGATTTCATCAGGCTCAAAATCAACATTTCAAGTTTTGGTAGTTTTAAAATAAATTAACCATCCAATCAGAACATTTGAGAAATCGCAAACATATATATATATATATACACAGGACATATTCAGTGTGTGCAATATCAACATTTAAAGGAATAGTTCACTTAAAAATTTAAATTCTGTCATCATTTACTCACCCTCAAGTTGTTTCAAACCTGTATGAATTTCTTTCTTTTGCTGAACACAAAGGAAGATATTTTGAGGAATGTCGGTAACAGGTTTGAAACAACTTGAGGGTGAGTAAATGATGACAGAATTTTCATCTTTAAGTGAACTATTCCTTTAATACAGGCCGCTGACTAAAATAACTGATAATTCTGCATGAAACATTTGTGTTTACATTAAAATGTTCTACATGTAAAAATGCAATTGCGAGATGACATCTTCAGTAATATCCACAGTATTGTGAAATATTATCACAATTTAAATAATAGCCATTACTCAAGTCTTCAGTCACATGATCCTTCAGAAATCATTAGAATATGCTGAACTGGTGCTCAAGAAACATTTATTATTATTATCAATGTTGAAAACAGTTGTGCTTCTTAGTATTTTTTTTTTTTTGTAAACTGTGAAACACTTTTTTCAGTATTCTTTGCCACTTCTGATCAATTTAATGAATCTTTGCTGAATTTAAGTTTTTTTTTTTTATCTTACTTCACTACTGCTCTTGAGCAGTAGTGTAGTTACCATAATTCTGACATGACGTACAGTAGTCGCAACACAACCAGTACTTGCCTTAAAGTTGTGGATCTTCTCGTAGTTGCAGTGTTTCTCTGGTCCATCCTTGAGTGTGGTGCGTCTGCTCAGCGGTGACGGGGTGATCTGTGAACAAGCCAAAATCTTTAGAGGCTTCCAGAGGAGGGCACCTTTACTGCCCAGATTCACCCCCAGAGCTAACGCCAACAACTCCTGGTGCTTACGGTCCTTCTGCTTAGCTTTGTGAGGGGCTAATTCACCTTTTGCTGACCCCTTAGTGCCAACAACCAGAGCCCTGGTCCTCAGAAGATCCTGCATATCCTCTGTAGAGGAAGATGACAATGATGTGGGGGATAACAGAGGCAACTGTCGTCTTCACTCTTTGGTAATCTGGGTCGAATGAGAAGGGGGACAGCCTGGTCCTGCATGAGCAGAGCAGGGCTGGGCTGGGGGTGGGTGGGCTGCCTGGGGGCAGGAGTGTGTCTCAAACAATAGCACACATTCAGCACTCTGAGAGAGTGGCAACACAAGACAGGGGAGACATTGGGAGGAGGGAATGTGTCAGTCTTGTAGATACATCTCAACAGGTTTCTACAGTAGGATAAATGGAATCCAGAACACAGCAGGATTATTATTGTAAACTACAACGGAGCCTCACACATGACAGGCGGACACTATATATACACATATACATTCACACATATTAGTGCTGTCAAATCGCATCTAACATTTTTTTAACATATTTGTGTGTATATATATTATTATATTTACAAATGTGTGTCTGTATATATATATATATATATATATATATATATTCACACATATATTATATAAATAAAAACTTTTATGTTAGATGTGATTAATTGCGAGAGAGAGAGAGAGAGAGAGAGAGAGAGAGAGAGAGAAAGAGAGAGAGAGAGAGAGAGAGAGAGAGAGAGAGAGAGAGAGAGAGAGAGAGAGAGAGAGAGAGAGAGAGAGAGAGAGAGAGAGAGAGAGAGAGAGAGAGAGAGAGAGAGAGAGAGAGAGAGAGAGAGAGAGAGCGCCTGCAAATGTTCCCCCTTGGTGCCGACCCTGACTGGAACACAGCACTTCCAGACACGATTCCACTGCAGTTCCCTTGAGTGCGGACAATCCTACATCTCAAAGCCAAAGAGCTCAGCTTTACATGCTTTAAATCAGAGATTTACACTGAGAAGAGTAGGTTCTCTCTCAAAAAAAGGTCTTGATCAGGTCTAGTTTCTGTCTAGCACGTAAACTTTTATGGGGTTTAGCCTTCTAGTCCTCTCTCTGTCTCTTCACTTCTGATCGCAACTTCGGTTACAAATCGGATCAGGATTTAGGCAGCTTACAGTCGTAATCCTGCATCACGGAAAAATCCTGTAGTGCCAGAACCCTTTGTTTAGGGAGTCAGACTTGTTTAGACCCCATTTAAACCTAATCTTATCATCCATTTCGGGTAATCTAATCAAAAGTGGGTAGCGCAAGACAGGATTCAAAATGTTTTGTGATCTGGATCACTCAAACCATATTTGGGGGTCACTGAAAAACAATTGGTGTAGGGTTTGCTTTAGCCTTTTCACACATAGAGCTCACTTCAAGTGGACAACTATTCAAAAAGCCATTTTCTTGCATATGCATGGGCTTTTATGGCATTTGCACCATTTTAGTCGGTGGGCTTTTTTTGCAACTTTTTGCCTATTTGGATTATTGTGGTTTATACACCTAGACTTTTTTAGGTCCTGTGAATTTTTCTATTCTTCTGTAGAGACTGAAATAGTATTTTCTTGTAAAACATACTCCAATAATCTTTGTTTTATTTACAACTCCGGAAATTTTGTATTTTTTTGTGTAGTCGAAACATCATATGTGGTCAATGGAAGCTAAACTGTTCTTGCTTGACGCACAAGAACAAACCTCATTGGTTCTCGCGCATTGAACAAGCACGTTTGAGCTTCTGTGAATTAAATCTGTTCATCATATAAAGTGAACATGTCTCTTCAGAAGGCTAAACTGATCAATTCATATGGATTACTTTTTATATATTTTTGAAGCATCAAAATTTTGGTTGCATGGACTTGAATTTTTCAGGTTTCATTAAAAAATATCTTAATTTGTCTTTCGAAGATGAACGAAAGTCCTTTCGCTTTAAGTACTGCCAACTTACAGTACCTGTCAATCATCCACTATGTTAAAACAAGCGTTTTAAACTTTTTAAACATGCATTTTAATCAAGTGAATAAATTTGTCTTTAAAAGAAATTAAACTTCCGATCTCAGGACCATCAACCCTTGTGATCAGATCATCTAAGACGGATGTTACCAAGTACTAGGTGTAAGTAAGGACTCGTGAGCTGCATTTCCACTGTCGGACCACAACCGAGCGAGACTAATTTTTCAGGCTGGGGGACCCTGACCCTTCTCAGCAGGAGGCTGATGCCGAATCCAGCAACATTGTCTGGGTATTTGCTGAAACATCCTGGAGAACACACATGAGACTTGCTGACCTCACAGATACAGCACATCTTAGGGCTTAGTATGGGTGCCCGCCTGGACGGTCATTTGCATGATTACATCAATTAACAAAATGGTGAGATTAGGAAAGAATAATGGAGATCTGATGAGTAAAAAAGAAAGAATGCTGAAGAGGAAGAAAAGCAACCTGGCTACGGCTCACATATTCAAGATATGCCGCATTCAGGTACATGATGTACCTGATTTCCCAGAAAGTGAGGTGGAGATGACTGCAAGCCTGTCAGGGTTGTTTTGAGTAAAGTATGAGCACAGCTTAAAAAGCGCTGGTGTGGTTTTTATTGCTGCTGACCTCCACAGTGACACAAATTTTTGTGTGCTGGGGGTACAGGGCAGTTAACATGTGCTCTAGTGGTCGACCGATATGGGTTTTTCACGGCCGATGCCAATATCTAGGGCACAAGGCACTGAAGGCAGCTGATGGCCAATATAATGGCAATTTTATAATCAATATAGAGCTGTTCAGTTTGTAGTCCTAGAACGGATTCCCTCTGGAATTTTCTATGTTTTTTTTTTTTTTTTTTACAATAGCAGTCTTTTGGTTTATGAGTAAAATAAGGTTTTTCAAATGACATTACTTGCTTAAAAGTTGCTAAATGAGGTGTGCACACAACAATTTAAAACAAGAAAGTCTATTTAGGTAATGTTAAGCACAGAATCATGAAAAAGAATTACACTTTAGAATACTTTTAAAAACAGTACTTATTACGGAAATTATATACAGGTACTTTAAAAGTACATATAAGTGCAAACTGAATGTAAGGTTTTCAGAAACTTAACTGCAATTAAATTAAAAGTGTGTTGAGAAACAGTCATGAACACTTAAGTGTTTTTTTATTTCATTAATATTATATTATCTCCAAGTACAGTTTAATTAAACTATCATTTTAAAATTTGAACAAGTGCATATATAATACAATTAAGTGCACTTCTTTTTCACAAAGTCAAAAATAACTCTATGCTAGCAAATGAGATATACAACATTGATAAATTACAACAAATTAACTATTATTTCACACTTATTTACTCAAAAAACATTTTTAAAAAAATGTGCATTTACAACATAACCTAACACACGAGGCTTGGCAAGGCCAGCACAGTTATGCACAGCCAATGATGATGATCTCAAAAATTCAAACTGAAAACCAACATCCAGTTCAGATAGCATAAACTGCAATACCAGTAAAAACAGTAACTTACTGAGGGTCACACGTTTAAGCTATACACTTATATAAAAAGATAAAGGGATGTTGGTGAGTCACATACAGTGATACAGGGGAAGAGGGAGATGGGGCGCACAGAAAGTGTGAGTGAATGAGCAAGACTTGCACTTTTTGTCCTAAGGCAGATGTCTTCTTGTCTCCTAATGAAAGAGGCTCAAAAGCCAAACACAAAAGGGAGACAATAAGGCCTAGTCTCTTTTTAGAGACCCCACAGATGAGGAGACAGACAGAACTAGGGCACATAAAGTATGTACAGTACAAAAACACATCCTATGCGATACACACACAGGGAAATGCGCTACATTCATTTAACACACTATTCAGTAATTCAACATACTGTCTATCACTGTCAGCACAGCTGTAATATTAGGGAATATCTCCATCAATACTTGATCTTGGAGACCATGTGGCTGTAAATGATATAATAGATTCTCATTTAAAAATGAAGGACAAAAAAATTTATTTTGTCAAACCGGCCAAATAATGAAACCACCAATACACTGTGACTGTAAGAGCCAGACTCATTTGTAAGACAACCGCAGGAAAGTAAAAAAAAACAGATATTTCCAATCCTTCATTTTAAAAGCTGCAGTGCTGAAATATAATGTAAACAACAATGATAAATCACCACAAAGCTCAGCGCTAATTCTAATAACTCCGATCCATCATCAGCGAGTGGTTTTAGGTGGAACTTGCCAGGCCAGCAAAACATTTCAGCGATTACTGTTATTAGAGGAAGAGAGCCATGTGAACCCTGAGCTGCGTAGACAACCAAACAGGCAAGGTGAACGATTCATAAAGGGCATCACTCAAGAAAACTGCCGTCATAGAACGACACACCCTGATTCTGGTCCCTAAATTAAACCGGTAAATGGTCAGGCACAGGTAAATCGAGACAGTGAAGTTAAAGGGATTTCAGGGTGTGTGAGGTCACTGTAAAATTTCAAGAGAAAAAATTCCTTTATAATAAATGGATCATTAGGTTGATGATGGTTACCATTTATCCATTGTAACAAATTGGCTAAGCCTTCCAGGGTGAGCCAATTATCATAAAAAGCTTTAAATATAGATCCATAACAATTACATCGTTAAAACACAATGGTAGCTCATTAAGAGTTGTTATTGCTAATTAAAACTAAAAACTAAAACTACTAAAAATCATTTAAATGAATAGGTCATGTTCTTAAATATTTAAATAAAGCTGAAATAAAATAAAAAAAATAAATAAAATTGAAAAACTATGCAACTAACTGAAATAAAATACGTTGAAGTTCTAAAATGACTAAAACTGAAACAAATTATATATATATAAATTATATAAATAAATTATAGCCATTTAAAAAAAGACAAAATAAATAAAAATGCAAATAAAAAACTGACGAAATATAAAAATAAACGCTAATTAAAAACATTAATAAATCCTATAGTAGTATATAAATAATACTAAAATAACACTGATAAAGAGACTTTTAAAAGGAAGATTCTAATAAGTCTGCAAGAATTGTAGTCACACTGTAACAAAGCAGCAGTATATCACAAGCAGAATTAAAATGATAACTGCAAAGTTATTATCATGGATCCCAGCATTATTAGTCTAAGAATACTGAAATACTGTGAATACCGGGCTGCAACAAAGCAGATCTTTTGATGTATATACTGTATACAAATCCATATTCAGTTTGACAGCTTGTTGAAGCTGCCCTCTAGTGGACATCTGAACAAAGCTGTAAGATGAAAAAACTCCACTTGTTGAAGTGTGTTGAGTTGATTGTTATGAATTCAAATCCTTAAGCCAATTAAAATTCTTTGTCTGGTGTCAGTAAACAAAAACAAATGTTCTCTATGCAAACAACAGAAGTGTTGTTTGAACACTTCCGTTGACTAATTCAAGAATGGTTTGATCATCGCTTTCAAAGAGCTCTTATGAAGAGCTATTTCACCTCAATAGTGAGGCAACAGAATTCATAAAGGTAGCAGTAGACCTGACTGAATTAATAAAACTCTCCTGTCAGTGAACCAGACAGTGTGTCTGATGAACGAGAGGGGAGACAACACATTCATCGCATTATCGTTCATCAAAGATGCACACCCTGAAGCTGAAACACTCTCCCACTCTTCCAAATGCACACAAAGAAATGCTCCTTCTCATTTGTCAAAATACCATTCTAACAACGATTTGTGAAAGGATAGTGCCTGACACCATGATTTGGTCAAAAGAAAACGTGTGAATAATATTTAAAAAAAACTAAATGAATGGATACGGTGCCTGTGTTAACTCTTATCAATAAAACCTTGATAACATCTATGGGCAAATGCATAATGAAGCAGTGCCAGTGTCAATGTCGTGTTATCACTACACGCAGACAAAGAGATGTGTATTTACGATTACTGTAACTCTCTCACTGAATTCTGCATGTAAATGTCATCTTAAATACCAATGATGGCTCAGATAAAGAAAAAGAATTTACAGCATTACTGCAGGTTAGTGTTGAGGGCTGAAATGTTCAATAACAAGCAAAAAATGCCAAATTTATCCCAAGTCTACTGATTAGCCTATAATTAACATATACAATGAAAACAACAGAGGTCCTAAAACAAAGCCCTGTGGGATTCCACAAAAAAAAACAGTGCACTTTTATGATTAATTTCAACAAAAATTGTCACAAATTTCCTCATCACATTTATTTGGCACACAATGACCAAGGATTTATTATAATGTCTTGTGATTATAAAGTATATGATATCTTTAATTCATATTTCATACATTGCTGATACACGCTATAACCTTTAGTAACATGGTAAGAACATTATAATCTGTATCTGAAGACAGAGGTATGCTCCTTACCTTGTCATCCTGTTGGAAAGTAACTTTTTTGGGCTCAGAGCGGGTCCGGTTGAGTCGGTGAGTGATTTTGTCCCTCAGAAGAGAAGTATAGCCCAGGTGCTGGTAGATAGGGTTTGTGGTCATCTTGGCAATGTACTCTGCTGCCTTGGTCTCAATATAGAGAGTGATGAGACCGTCTGTAACCAGATCATGAACCGACTCGAAACGTTTTTCTCCCACAAAGTGCTTTCCATCATAAAACAGTCGGTAATTCAGAGTCTGGCCACCAAATCTGAATGATAGACAAGTAGTACTGCATATTATATTACTGTATATTATAATGCAGTATAATATAATATTATGACAATATTATAATTGTACTGTACATTGTAAAACAAAATATTTTATTTATTGTTTTTATAATTTGTATAATATGATTTAATATAACATAATATAATATTGGATGGATGGATGGATGGATGGATGGATGGACAGATGGACGGACATGTAGAGAAAGGATAAAGAATAGATGGCATGTACCTCAAAGCAAGTGTATAAGTTCCTGGTTGTCTCTGGCTCTCTCTGATGAGATAAGCACCTTCTGTCCCCGCCAGCAGTTCATCTGCACGCTCTCTGGAAATCAGACCATGGAACCTGTACAGAGACACCATGATTTACCCTGGTGTACACACACACACACACATACAAAAACACAGCACAGACTTTTGTGATGCTTACATATTCACATGCACAAACACCCTAACTTGCTTGACACGACATAAATCACAGTCTCTTCCTCATACATTCATATTACCACCCTCACACACATCACTACACAAAATCAATGTGCACCACCACTCGTCTTAAATAATAAATTCTGCTAACTCACAGCAAATTTTCACACGCACATGCAAGGGGGGGGAAAAGTAACTAGACAGCTAGTAGAAGTAATTTGAAGAATAGTAATATTGATGCTTTGCTTTCAAAGCACTACCAATAAAGTTAGACACTCACTCTCTGCCATAGTATTTGGGTCTGCTTTCCATCTGCAAGCCAAAGAGAAGAACGTAAGAGAGAGAAATACATTGAGAAATAGTTTTCAACACAAATCACTTTGTCAAAAGGGTCATGAGGTGGTTAAACAAGCTTTTCTAATAGTTAGTCTTTCTAACAAGATGAGCATTTTGTGAACATGGAGACAGTCCAAACATAAGCTCCAGTGTTTAGTAAAAGATACGCAGACTGAATCAATATGAGTCATGTTTGAAAAACCTTGGGAGTGTTTACCCACATTTTCCTGTACTTACCTCCTGAGGACATGTGATCCTCTTTGGTCTTGACGCTTCTTGTTGTAATTGGTACACTGATGAACAATAAAGAAAAATATTTCTACAATTTTTATAAAAATTATTATTTCTATATTTTGAAAATAAGAAAAGGTTACATTGTCTTTCGGCATGAGAAGCAGCTCAACAGAAGGAATTCTACTGTTTATTTTACCTCTAATCTTTATAACGCTGTGGTGAGATGTTGGTATATATAGAGCGTGTCAAAACACAGCATTCTCTCTTAGACATTAATCCATTAGGTCTGAGCTTGAGGACACACACCCACTTACACTGCTGTCAGGCTAAGCTACAACACATTATAAAAGTGGATTGGGTAATATTGGTAAAGCTATTGAAAAATGAAGAGTGCGCAAGAGGCAAACGGATAAATCAACACCAACAGTTGGTCAATATGGGAAAGGAGTACATGAAGAGCCAGTATTCAGCTCAAATGGGTTTAAGAACAGATGTTTTGATTGTGCCTGTTTGTGTAAAAATGTAGTACAGAGAATGGAGGTTAATACCAGGAATTCCTCAGGTTATCCTCTCCTAAATAATCAGCTTGCACAGGCAAGGTCAATTTGTGGTCAGTTCGCACAATATTCCTTTGATGGTGAGTTCATTCTCAATTATAATAATGGGTATTGAATTCCAAGCCATCACACCTGTAGTGAAAACTTTTCACAAGTGAAAATACACCTGTATCTCCTATTCAAATAAACAGACCTTGCATCTACAAGGTGCTAAAGTGCCCCTCCAACTCTCTCTGCATTTGCCGTGGGTTTTAAAAGTCTGAGACAACATTGAAATTCTTTTTATTTAAACCGGGAAAGAATCATAAAGTTTTAGGATTTTGAACACTGTAAAACACAGAAAAATGTAAGTAAATTGAATTAGAAATACTGTTTATGGAACTGTCAAACTTTCCTACGTATTATTGAATGCATCTCTTTTATGATGAACATATTTTAATGAACTAATGCAACTGTCCTGATATCATAATTAAGGGAGAAAAACTGAAAAGAATAAATTCTTGTAAAGAAAACATTGGGTAATTTGGCATAATATTTTATTATTATTAGTAGCAGTATTTATTTGGGGGAAAAACAAAACTGCATTACGCTTATTATTTGAAAAACTTTTGTCCGCCAAAGCAAAGTATTGTGGTGCAACAAGATCACTGTGATTTTGCCAAGTAAGACTTGGATCAACATATTTTGTTGATCCTGGAACAACATTCCTGCCCGAAAATTTGGACTCCTAAACATATCCCATATCCCTACCCCTAAACCTAATCCTACCCATAAGTTATCCCTAAATTCAGAGGGAAAAGATAGGTGAATGAGGACAAAATGGTTGTAAGCCTAAATTTGACAAACTGTAAACCTGTCTCTCAAATCTGATTGGCTGATTGGAATGTTGTTCCAGGATCAACAAAGATGTTGATCCAGGAACATGTTGTATGTTCACCCTCTTGGGAATATCAGATCATTTGACCTTTTAAATGTCAAGGCAAGATTAGTTCAAGTTGTAAAATGTCATGTGCATGGGTTGAGTCCCTTAAACCGTATTAATAAATCATTATACTAGTAAAAAAAAAAAATTCTGCTGCCAATAAAGCAACAAAAAAAAAAATCTTATATTCATATTAGATTTTCAATGAAACATTTTCAAATTTACAATTCAAATTGAATTACTGATAATCAAATTTGTAGTTAAAAAAAATTATAACGTGAAAGCATAATGAATAGTGGACTATTGGCAGTATATTATCAATCTGAACCATTTAGTTCTTTACTGTGAGGAAAAAAGTTTAAAAATGGTATTTAGATCATTGTGAAGAAATCAGCGGTAGTGAAATGATCAATACTGGCTCAAAAACAGCAACAGATGTGCAGGGGTACTTCAGCTCGATATGAACGTGACCTTCTCTTGATGACTTCATTAAAAGCAGCTCATCGTGCAGAGCAGCGATTGGCCGGCGCAGTTCGAGCACAGGCAGAATCTGGACTCAGCGCTCAGATTTTCCCTCCCAGAGAGCAGGAAGGCATCTGACAGCGATGCCAAGATCTCGTCAAAGAAGCTCAGAACGAGCAGTGGGTTCTGGACAACGTCCACCAGAATGACAAGGACGGGGCCTGCTCTAAAAATACTGCACAGTGGGAGTGAATGCGAGGGAAAATGAGTTGAAATGTGGGACGGGCTCGAAAAATCTGAGATAATGCTCACTGGCCAGGAAAACCTTGACAAGTGAATCACTCCTGTCAGGGTCAGAAATTTACAGGCAAAAATGCCACCAAGATGAACATAAATGCCACCACATTCAAGATAAGGGGGAAAAAGGTAACTCTGCACAATTAAACTAAATCTATTATGGCTGTTGCGATTTAGATTTAGATTAGCATTTAGATTAGCAACCACTGAAACTGAATAAACAACAAAGTTCAGATATGATGTAACAGATTCATTTTGCAGTGTAGACAGCTTGAGTGATTGTAGCAAGAGTTTTTGTGAAAGTCATGGACCAGGGACTGGGAATGTTCTTTGCTCACTTTCTGTATTCATTCTCAGTTCGAATTACCTTTTTGTTTTTCATGCTCCTAAAAAAAACCAATGTGAAGTTTTGATATTCTACTGCATAAAAAGCAGTAAACTAAATCATAAACGTTCTCAGCTTGTTTTGTTTGTGTAGCCAGAATATGACGTGCAACAATTTTACAGGTAAAAAGTCTATAGCATTTTGATTGAATGAAGTAATTGGTTAAATTTAAGTATATGATATAAAAAGACAACACAGATACATTTATTAAGGTAATTATAAAAATTGCTCTAACAAAAGGTGAAAAAAGCTCCTATAGTAATCAATTCCAATTTGCCCTATAATGGAAATGAACTTTTCATTTCTGGCCCTGGTTCCTGTTCCCTTCGCCCTATGCCAAACCACATTTCCCATGATGCAATGTTCTCACGTTTGAAGCCCAGATTACTGTATTTCTTCAGTCGATTGTGTTTTATTCTGGTTGTTAGTGTCAAGTCTGTCAACTGGATCTAATTGAGACATTAAAATGATGTCTGTACATGTATAATGTTAAAAGAATACTTACAGTAGGATTTCCATATCGGTGGCTGATAATCTTCAGGATCTACAACAAAGGATCATAAAAGAATGTCAGGATGTCTTCTGTTCTGTGCTAAATTAACACGTCTCAAAATAATTGTCTCTTGTCTACATGTTCTCACTTAACACGGTCTATAAAACTTACTGTCAGGTTAGAGAGTGGCTGTAATCCAAGGTTATTATATTGTTTCCTTAATGTTAAGTTATTCTGTAAGCTATGATGCGTAATGTGCATGCTGACAATATAATCCTTCCTCTACAATGCCTTCGGGGTACACATGTTTTAACACTTCTTTCATTTAGCTCCCCAGCTCAAAGACCTACATATATAATGTTTGTTTAACACACCCGTACAGCTAAAACACACACACACACACACACACACACACACACAGGATTTTCTAATTTAAAACACATGAGCTGTCAATCGATTAAACACTTTAACCAAATTAATTACATTATATGCAGAATGCAGATTAATTAATAAAATTCATCACAATTAATTGCATTTTGCATATTTAAATTTATTTGCTGAGAAAAGCCCCCACACAAAGGGAATTCAAGGACGTTGACATTTTTGTTGCAGACATAATCATTGAATAAAAATTCAAAAATGGCATTAGAATGTCAATATACTGTTTGTTTTGCTTCCTCTTACATTCTGTTACAGTGTGTTGCGTTACATCGAGTTGATTTTGAACCTGGGCAGATCAAAAGAGAGCAATTCTGTTTCACATATCAATACAGCAATTCTTGAGTGAGATGAAGTTTAACTGATTTTGGTTTGCAGCCCACTCAGGATGACTTAATAAATGACAGAAATGAATAGAAATAAGGTGGAGTTGGGGTTGTGGAAGGGTGACAGAACAATTGCCACAGAAATGAGATAAGAAACTATATATATACTCATCTAATGTTTACATAATTGACATGCTCCTCCCGAATAGAGCTCCAGACTATGTTTCCACCACAGAATAAATAAGAAAAAAGGTAATTGCAACTTCTTATCTCTTTAAGTCAGTTTAAGTCAGTTTATATCTCGCAATTCTGACTTTATTTCTCACAATTGAGATATATAAACTTGCATTTCTGACTTTTTCTTGCAATTGCAAGTTTATAGCTTTTTGTCTCCCTCTTGCGAGTTATAAATTCTAAATTGTTATATATAAAAATCCAGAATGGTGAGATAAAAAGTCACAATTACCTTTTTGGCGGAAACTAGCTTCCAAACCATTCTATATTGTATGCAAGTAGTCAATTTCTGTTTTCCAACTTTTTCAGAAATGCTCTTCCAGTTAAAGCTTTGGGTAACTATCTAACTTCAAATAACATTATGGTAAATACTTTCAAAACTAGGATGAGATAAATGAATGGGGAAGCAGCACCTCTAGTAAGCAAGTAATTTCTCAAAGGAACACAAGTCAGAGCCTGACATGGTTTAGTATGGCTGTCGAGCACAGACAGCCTGGATATGGAGGTTCATTTGCATACATTATAATGAGAATGGCAGTCCTGTCCGTCTAAAACAGAACACCTTAAAACAATATTTTAATTCAAATATCTCATTACTGTTTAACATGTTAATTTAATACAGTAAATTACTTTTTAAAAATGAGATACAAAAATTAACACATTTAATCATGCCCTCCTGAACTGTAACTGTAAACATACATGGGCTATTCTCATTCTTGTGCCACCTTTAAAAATTACAGTTAAAATGCAATTAAGTGTCTAAAAACTTGACACAAAGTATACTCTTTTTAAGTCAAAAATTGTGATTTAATTCATTAAATGTGATTAATTTTGATTAATTAACTGGAACAGCATGCTATTAATTTTTAGATTGACTGTCAGCCCTAAGCAATATTAATGTATAATTGATTAATTATTACAGATCATAAGGTAAACAGTATAAAAATCTGCCAAATAGGTCATTAAATTAAATTATCCTAAATCTTTCTCTGATGTTTAAATACAGAAGCCTGAAAGCATCAAAAGAAAAATAAATAAATAAACCGGGATTCTCAAGAATAAATCACAACAGTTCCTCTCACAGTTTAGCCAGACAGGGCTTCTAGATAATCAATATTAGTACGTAAAGTAGGCCTGACCTGCACAAACCCATAAACAGAAATTTGGCAATAAGACAAAGACACTCATTTCACAATACATTCTTGTGTGAGAAATGAACAAAACTGTGGAGCTGATCAGCATTTCCTCATTCAGAAAAGTACCTGAATCTCTGATCATTCATAGAAAGATTATTACCCAAAAAAACACATTGCATTGTAAGCAATGACACACTCATTGTGTGTGTCTGAATTGAGAATAGTAATATACAGCCCTGGAAAGTGTGTGAAAGTTCAGAATGACTGCGTGATCTTGTGTCTGTGTGAGAGAGAAAGACAGAAGTAGATCGAATAAGAAAGATAGAGTGGAAAGTAGTAGCCCTTGTTTTCTTTTAGTAAAACAATCTCTTTGAAGGTATAAATCAATGTGTGTTTTCTTCTCTTCCCTGAATACGTACTGGTCTCTATGGATCCATGTCTTATTTCAGGCACTGTCTCTTTTAATGTCAGCACTTTACTGCGGCCAGTCAGCATTTCCTCCCTGCCTACACACTCGCAACTAAACACAAGCTCAAAGTCCAAACCACAAACACACACAGCGCTCCATCCAAACATACAACAACTGTTATACAACATGGGCTCGCTCTGTATATGTCTTGTCAAAGTTGTAAACATTTTGTCAGATTTATTTATAAAGCCACAGGTAAAAAGTACACAAAAAACTGAGCTGCCAAGCTAAGATACTCATGATGCCTTGACTTGGCAATAGCTACGCTGAGCCAGAATGAAAGGATTGAATGGTTTGAGACTTTGGCATGTGCTTGCAAAGAGAACATTTAGCAAGAACATCAAGCGATTTAGTCCTTTTCTTTCTGGAAGATGATGATATAGCGAGGATTAAATGTTGGCTGAGGTTTAGATTTGTGTTTTTCTGGTCTTAATCCTTTGTAATTTATGACGAAGTGTGTAGCAAACCATTTTACATGCAGGTAGCAGCAATAAATATGGAGGAAAGATATGAACAAATTAAATAAGGACATAGTTTGCCACAAAATGAAAACCCTGTCATCAATTGTGCCTCACTTTCTTTGTTCTGTGGAACACAAAAGAAGACATTTAGAAGTGTGTGTTTGGGGGGGGAGGGGGGGGTTGGGGGATATCCAAACGTGGATATTTTTAAAAAAAAAATATCCACGTTTGCTGTGCTTGTTTGTAGGGCTGTACATGTTTGCCAAAAATTGTGTGATTATAAGGACTCATGCTGGAATTGATACGGTAAAACTTGTATGTATCAAGTGTTTTGAAAGCCTCTAGATATATCAATATGACTATATTATTATTATTATTTAATAATGGAGTTAATTATATAATTTAGAAATTACTTTTTTACAGTACAACTGCACAATTAGAATACTAATAAATATGGCTGTTATAATTTATTAATTTTCAAACGTTAAACCAAACTTCAGGGGGCCCTCAAACCTTCTCTTTTGTTGACAATTCTCATTACAATTTTGGGAAGATGGTTGGCACATGTTGCTGTTAGCTGAGTGGCATTTAAAGTGAACTGACCCACTCTAAGGGTGTGTTCACACTTGGCAGGTTTGGTTCGACAAAAACGAACTCTTGTGCGATTGTTCTGTTTTGGTTCGGTTCATTTGAATAAGCAATGCTGCCTTCCGGGCACTGATGCGCCCCAATCAAGCAGACTGAGACCCCTGAAAAGGTTGGCCTCGGTTGGCTACCAAACTTTGGTGAAATATGAACGCAACAAGGACCAAAGACATCTAACCGAACCGGATATGCATAATGTATAATGCATTATGCATATCCGGCAGCATAATGTCTTAAGACCCTTCAAGCTAAATCGAAGAAAGAACTGATGGGACGTCATTTAAAAAAAAATCAGGCCAAAACTAAGTTCGTTTTGGGAGTTCGAAACACCTTACCAATGCAACCTTTGGGAAAAGTTTGTACTATACAAAGCCACTGTATAGTAGAAAATGAGGCTGTAATCCTGAAGAAATTAGACACTGGCACTGGTTTAAATGTGTAAAGCTGCTTGCTTTTAAGCTATCTATTGTAGAAAGTGCTATATAAATAAACATGACTTGATGCAAGTTTACTAGAGTGCCGAATTGCAGAGCCCATGCAAAAATATCTATGTTTCTATGATCAGATGCTTTTCTTATGCATTATTAAATGCGTGCTGTTCTCTCATTTTGTTGTGTGATTATTTTGTTATTGAGAGGAAAGCGCGTAGCACATATTTACATATTTACTCTCATCAGTGTGGGCGGCGTCGGGATGTTTGCGAACAGTATATCGCTGCTCACGTATTCCAAACTTCTTTAAACAATATTTGTAAAAATGTATCCCAGGACACAACATCGTTGATGAGCTGCTTGCGAGTAAATGAACAAAGTGCCGCACTTCAATCTGATACATGCAGCGCATATATTTCAATTGTAGCCTTTGCGATTTGATAATCGGACTAAGCCATTTATTTTGATTAATTGTGCAGCACTACTTTGAAGTGTTTCGGCTGTTTTTGTCCATGCAAGGAAAGTCAATGGGTTCAAAAACAACATTGATCGAACTCATTTGACTTTCATTGTATGAACAAAGAACAAGACATTTTTCAAAATATCTTCTTTGTGTTCCACAAAAGAAAGAAAGTTATACAGGTTTGGAACAACATAGGGGTGAGTATTTTCATTTTTGTGTGAACTATTTCTTTATTTGGGCGGCCCAGTATCCACTTTACAGTAGTCAAGTGAGATAGATTAGCTTTCAATCAGTGTTTATGTGAGCGTATGTTTGGATTAGTATGAAGCTGTATTGTCTGTTGGAGCTCAGGAGTGCTGCAAAGCAAACAATAAATATATATATATATATATATATATTCTTCAGTGGCTCATTTGGAAAATTTATGATTTCTTTTGGTGATCTGCCA